GGAACAAGTAAAAGCGGAAATCGACGCCAAGAAAATCGTTATATTGGTATCGCTAGACATAGAGGGTGCCTTTGATAACGCCTGGTGGCCTTCTCTAAAACAACAATTAATCGCAAGGAAGTGTCCTAGAAACCTGTACGCCCTGGTGGACTCTTACCTCAGTGAACGGAAAATCAAGGTCAATTATGCCGGAGCTAGTAGCGAAAAGGCGACAAACAAAGGTTGCGTCCAGGGATCCGTAGGGGGACCAACCTTTTGGAACCTTATTCTTGATTCGTTACTTCACAGACTAACAAGTGAGGGGGTTTATTGCCAGGCGTTCGCGGACGACGTGGTTCTCTTGTTCTCGAGCCATAAGGTGAGCGTCTTGGAGCAGTCGGTAAATGGTGCCTTGGAATTGGTAACGGCCTGGGGGGCTAGTAACAAGCTCAAATTCGGGGCAAGCAAAACGAATGCGATGCTGCTAACAAGAAAGCTCGCTTTTAGCCCCCCAGATCTGTACATGTCGGGTACCAGGCTTAACCTCGTAGATGAGATAAGGCTCTTGGGCCTCACCATAGATAGAAAACTAACTTTTAAATCCCACATATCCGCAACGTGCAAGAAAGCTGCAGACATCTACAAACAGCTAGCACGCGCGGCAAAGGTGACATGGGGTTTGAACGGCGAGATAACGAGAACAATCTACGTCGCGGTCATTGAGCCAATTGTGCTTTACGCTGCGAATGTATGGGCCCCAGCGACGGAGTTGCAGTTGACTAAAAAACAACTAAATGCTCTTCAAAGGGGATTCGCGCAAAAGATCTGTAGAGCTTATCGCACAGTGTCGCTCACGTCAGCAACGGTTTTGTCGGGCACAATCCCACTTGACCTAAGAATTCAGGAGAGTGCTAGTTTATATCGAATCAAAAGAGGATTCTCTCTAGACTATCTACCACCAGGAAAAGAGCTCGAAAGGGATGTACCTTACCTGGACCAGCCACATCCCTCGAAATTAATATCAGTAAATTATGAGCTCCTGGAGAGTGGTGACTCGGGATCTTCTCTCATCGGCGAAATTACCGGTCCTCATATATATACGGATGGCAGTAAGATTGATGGAGGAGTCGGTTCTGCCCTGACCTGGTGGGAGGAGGGGCGCGAGTCGGCCTTTTCCACTTTTAGTCTGGACTCCGCCTGCACAGTCTTTCAATCAGAACTATATGCACTGAATAGAGCCACTAAAATGGTGGAAGGCAGTAGAGAGACAAGAGTAAATATTATGAGTGACTCCAGATCCTCTCTCGACGTCTTGAAAAACCCCAAAGTGAGCCATCAGTTAGCTAAAGAAATAAAACAATGTATTGGAAACATCAGGGAGCAGGGGAGAGAGATTCGATTTTACTGGTTGAGGGCCCATGTTGGAACGGTCGGAAACGAGAGAGCAGACGAATTGGCTAAAGCCGCTGCCAAAACAAAAGATAACACCACAGCAGACTACACTAGAGTACCCATGTCCTATGTCAAAAAGAAAATCAGGGAAGAAACCATCCGGAAGTGGCAGGACAGATATACAACCTCCACTACTGGGCAGGTAACTAAAGCTTTTCTCCCGGATGTCAAGGAGGCATATCGATTAGTGAGATCGACCAAGTTGACACCTGCCCAAGTTCAGGCGTTGACGGGACATGGAGGGATCGCTGAGTACCTGCATCGGTTCAAGCTAAAAGAAAGTGCGGGTTGCGAATGCGATCCAACTATCAGTGAGTCTGTATGGCACATCATTCTCGACTGTCCTCGTTTTCTGGCCGCCAGAACCAACCTAGAACATCAAATTGATGCAAACCTGGTCCACTCTGAACTGAGTTCTATACTAGCTGACAAATCTAAAAGACCGCACTTCCTGGGTTACATGGATGCCATTTTTTGCAGGGCGGCTGAAAGAAACAGCACACTTAATAAAAGGAGCCAAACAGTAACCAGCTTGGAGAGTCGATATAATTCCGCCATGGTGGCGTCCGAGACTCCGCGTACAACAATAGCTGATCCGCTCACTATTAACGAACAGCAAATCCTCTTACAAGGAGAGCATGGTACGAAAGGTATACGAATCCGAGGAGTGGCTTTGTTCATGAGCACCGGCAGCGAGAGACTGGGGATCGCCTTCTGCAATACCTCAAATCAGAAATGGCTCAAAATATCACCGGGCCTTGCCTCCCTGTTGAATGGCAGCACCTTTAAAACAAGCATGAGACGCAAACAATATGAAGCGCTTCCAGAAATTAAACTGATGGGTCAAACCTGTCGACTGTTGCGAACGCGCAATAAAACTATTGCAATGTTTCCCGGCGTTGACTCAATGACCTGTTTTCAACAAGCATGCAAGGTGCTGTCCGGTATAGGTAGGTGGGGAGAAGTGGATGGCGTAACATCCAGAATAATTAGCGTGGATGCCGCAGTGGTGGCTTCCCAGAAAGGAAAAACAGCGGATCTCATGGGCTGTGTTGAAGCTTCAGAACATCATGAAGTCATCGTTTATGAGGACAGAGGTCAAGACCTTAGTTTCCTTAGAAAAACGGTCCAGGGTCCTCCAAGTGTCGGCTCTCCAAGCGGCTCAGAGCGCTTACAACAAAAATATTCTGAACAAAGCGCTCTGCAAAAACATGAACTCAACATCGAAAGGCAAAATAGGGAACGAGATTCACGAAGCAGCATGTGGGCAATAACATCAGCTATATGTACAGCTGTGGGTCTCGTTTCTTCACCCTTCAGAAGAAGTATGACCGGATCCACGCACGGGGGAGGGCATGTCGCTCAAGTACAACCTAATCAACCCAAGTCATCGCCAACAAGAGCCGCCATGGGTCACGTCTGTCCGCCGAAACTCCGCCATGCAGATACTCCCAGAGACCATCTCATAAACGCTTTCCTCGAGTTTGTCGCAGTAATAGAAGCTACAAAGCAAGTCAACTTGCGAACGTGCAAAGCGATCCTGCAGACTTACCTGCAGGGCAACGAGCTGATACTGGATGACAGGCTCGAGGCTGCGGAAGCAGTCATATACGACAACAGTACATCGAAAGTATTGAGAGGTGCGTCAATAAGTCGTAGTATGGCAGCTTATAACGCCACCGCAGGATTTGTGTCTCTGGATGAGAAAGAGACAGAAAAACACGGAGTTGTGAAATTTAAAACACCCCCCGAAGATTCCTTAGTGGTGGTTGCCAGGTGTACCAGGATTATGCTGGATGATGGGATCTTGGAAATGGCAAAATCCATCTCAGGAACTGGGCCGGACGGAGTAGTCTTTAGGGACTGGGATACTCCGATGTTTCATTGGACGAACGGTGTACCGGGATGCGGCAAAACTACTTGGATAATGAACCAATTCGAAGCGGAAAGGGATTTAATTGTCACCACAACAACAGAAGCGGCAAATGACCTCAGAGGCAAACTGTCCTGCCGAATCGGGGGATTAGTCAAATCTAAGGTCCGAACAATGGCGTCCATTTTAGTGAATGGAGTAAAAGAACAAGAGAGCTGCCACCGAATCATGGTAGATGAGGCTCTCATGAATCACTTTGGGGCCATTGTGATGGCTGCACGAATAACTCAGGCCAAAGAAGTCCTACTTATTGGTGACGTGAATCAACTTCCCTTTATTGACCGCGACAACCTCTTCCCCCTCGTATACACCCGCCCTGCACACATCGTGGCCGTGACCCGGGAACTTCTCTGCACTCACAGAAACCCAATGGATGTGGCATATGCTCTTGGTATTGTGTATTGTGGCATATACTCGTCTAAATCAAGAGTGAGATCCCTTGAGTTAAAAAGTTTTTCAAGGGCGCGGATCCCGAAGTCTCCCCCGAACACGTTATACCTGGTACACACTCAGGTAGAAAAGGAATCCCTCAAAAACCAGGGATACGGATCGGGTATGGGGTCACGAGTACTCACAATACACGAGGCCCAGGGGCTGTCGTATGCGGCAGTGGTGATTGTGAACACAACGGACAGGAAACAGCGGATACACGACAGTGTACCTCACGCCGTGGTAGCTATATCGCGTCACACTGACAGTTGTGTCTACTACACGGACATAAATGATGACGCAATCAGCAAAATAATCAGACGGGCGCTGGGTGAGGGTGAGCAGGGAATCCTGGATTATAACCTAAAAATGGCAATAAAAAATAGAGATGCGCTGGTCGTGAGCGCTCTTCTGGGTGGGGACGGTTCGTAAAGCCGCACAACTGCTGAAAAGGTCCAGATAAAAAAAAAAAAAAAAAAAAATCATCATGGATTAGAGTTGTTGTATACATGTTTTGGTGTGTTCGCAAAAAAAAAATTGTATTTATTAAAAATGTAATTAATGTAAAGTAATATAAGTTTATTAATAAGACTAATAAAAACCACTAGCACTACTGCAATTAGCTTACTGCCGCGTGGGCGGGGACGTCATGCATTCGTAAATGTTCTACAGTCGGTGGCGCTGTGGGCTGGGTCGTTCCGTTCCCTACGAAATGGTTGATCGGACCGATTGCTGGCCTACACGTCATACCCGTGAACGGGTGCCTTCTGCTGGAACAGGTCGGCTCGCTCATCGTGCTGGTGGGCTGATTCAGTAGGGTTAGTCTAAGATAATAAGACTATAATAATTAGGCAACAACATAAAGTATTGTGTGTAGTACAGTGGTAGGCGTAGCATGTAAGATCTGTATAAAAAAAAAAATATTTGACCATAGCAAGTATGTACTTGTAATATGACAAGGGCACGGACACGAGTCCGTGGAGAAATTCAATTTTTTATTTATAATAAAAAAAAAAAAAAAAAAACATCACTCTGACACATCTCTGATACCTATATGGCTGAGAATTGACAATAAAGTAAAATCCTTCAAATTACTTCTCAGGGTCTCCACATTGCATAAAAGAAAAAAAAACGCATAAAGTTAAAAAAAATAATGAAGATTTATTTACAAATAGGTACATTAAACTCATTTAATTAATGTTTACATCTTCGGTATTTAGTATATATAAGATTAAATTGCTGCAAAAGTTCTGACGGATTTTCCATTCCATCCTTCTATGGTGTTCGTCTGAAATTATAGGAAAATTTATTAACATAAAGTTAGTGATATCATAATTCCCTTATCAAAAAAACCATAGACTTCACTTCAATTCTATCTATAGATGGCTCATGAAGTTCTTTGAGTATGCATCATTTATATTTTACTGGACAGCCTCGTTGCCCGAGTGGTCGGAAGTGCAACTGCCAGGCAAGTAGTCTCGGGTTCGATTCCCGGGTCGGGTATAATATTATCTACTGGGATTTTTATATAAAAAATTTTAGTAGTAGCACGGAGTCTGGAATTGTGTCCGACATATATTGCAATAGACTCACCCCCAATTACCCACGTATCCCCTATTACTCATAACATAAATAGTGAAAAAGTGGGTGTTACATTGTACAGTGCCATTAATTGCCGATATGTGCACTTCTGCCTACCCCTTCGGGGATAAAAAGCCGTGATGTTATGTTATGTTATTGTTATATTTTAGTGCACCTTCAATGACCTTCATTCTAATCTATTATTTATATTATTTACTGACCAATATTAACTCTTGCGGTGTAAAAGAGTAGACAATCTTAGATTTCTTTCCATTTTCAGATACATCTGACTGGATCAAGCTGTCCCCATCGGCTTGTATAACAGTGTTCGTCTACAAGAAGAAAACAAAACTTGAATTAAACATTAAAAACTCTTTTTTATCTAAGAAGAAGCCATTAACCAGTAAAGGGCAAGAGTCATCATTATCATCAACAGCCTATAAATACCCACTGCTGAGTAAAGTTCATTATCACGCGGAGAAGGTTGGATCATTAATCACCACGCTTGCTCATTGCGGGTTAGCGATTTCAAATTTATAATTAGAAATTATAAGTCCAGGTTTTCTAACGATGTTTTCCTTCACGACTGCCTCGTTGGCCGAGTGGTCGTAAGTGCGACTGCCGGGTAAGGGGTCTCGGGTTCGATTCCCGGGTCGAGCAAAGTATTACTGGGTTTTTAAATATTCTCAGTAGTAGCACGAAGTCTAGAATTGTGCCCGGTATATGGCAATAGGCTCACCCACTATTACATGGGACTTATAACATAAATAGTGAAAAGTGGGTGTTACATTATACAGTGGTTTAATGTGCACCTCTGCCTACCCCTTCGGGGATAAAAGGCGTGATGTTATGTTATGTTTTCCTTCACCGTTTATCAGTTGTGTCTAAATAATCTTAGTAAGTACGTGTAACGCAGAAAAAGTTACATTGGTAGGTACTTGCTGTTGATAAGTTTCGAACTCGCACCCTCATGCATGCGAAGCGGGCATCTACCCTCGGGGCACTATGACATTAGGGAAGGGAAAAAGTAACAGATTGATATTTAATATTTGTTGCCAATTAATTATAAATGACATTCAAATAAATTGTATAACTTATTCTCGTCACTGCTCAACTCGTTTCAAACCACGTTAGGGGCCCATAGCATGAGCAAGTGATCAGCATGTATGACAAGATGGCAACTGATGCGAGGAACATCATTACTGTCAGCAAACTTGACGCTTATGAATTCTTGTTCGCTTTTATTATTAAAGTCAAAAGTTGAACCCAACTCATCGTTTGCTTAAGATTCAGAAAATTATTTAAGCAAGAAAAAATATATTTGTAATTTTCAAAAAAGTTAACAAAAATTGAGTCTGCATACCTTTTCTCCATTAGGCTTATTATCAATGAATTCCTCATTGAGTTTGAAGCTGAATGTTACAGTTTTGATAGCAGTTTCCATAGTGATGGTGTAAATGTCTCCATTCTTCGTCATCTCGAAAACTGGACTGACAGCTCCAAGAGCTTTTCTAGCTATCAGGTTAATTCCTATTGGCGTGAGACAAACATTGTAGTAATTATTGTAAAAACAAAACACACAAAGCATTAGGTGCGCCTGTCAAAACTGTTATGTGCATTTGGTCAAGTTTTCAGGAGGAGACAATAAACTATTTTTTACACTTGCACTGAAAGGTTGATGGACTTAGCAATAAATTAAAAATGCAGTATGATGGCAAAAATTATGATAAAAATAACTGAGATAAAAGTGAAAATGATAACACCGTACTGTTCATCCCCAATAATTTTATTTTCGATTTTGGTGCACATATCAGATTTATCTTAGAAAACGGTAAAAATTTTAAACAAAAACTGTTGATATTCAATCTGCCAAACTATCTATGTGATGCTGCAACTTCTGACATGTGCGTTTTATGTCACATAACCGTAACCACGGATTATAGAATACATATTCCGTGACCGTAACCAATCGAACACATAACCAATTTGTCATGGCCAGAAAGTGCACATATAAGATTGGTCTAATCGATTTCTATAGGGAAAAAACACATATTTTTTTTTGTAATCGATGCGCTATCCGATTTGAAAGACATCTAGCTGAGAAAAAAAAACTAAATATTTGCATATATCAGTTTTGGCAGGCGCACCGACGATAATTTAAAGCATTCGAGTAGAATTAATAGCGTGTAATCCAAATAATGACAAAAAACAGATTGATGAGAGGTTACAGAATACAATAAAATTAACTACAAATACGCCTAACGTGCTATTATACATTGTATGCACTTTTAAGCATATTGTGTGACCACCCAGAGTTTGCCTGTCATCCCGTGAGACAGATAGTACAAAGTCATAATCCGATCTAACCAGTCGTTTCCTCATCCAGTGACATTACCAGGGACGTTTTATAAGTCCAGTTAAAACATTAATTATTGATTTTAAACCATTTTTATTAAACTTAACTATTTGCAAGTTGGACCTTTTTATTTCGAACTACCCCAACACTATAACAGTGCGCTCGTTTGCACCATTAGTCAGTCGAGTGTAATTGCTTTTAAAAAGCAGTAGGTGCTCCCACAAAGTGGGAACATCTACGTAAGCTTCATACGAATGCAATAAATTTTAAATTGAGCTAAAAGAGAAAGAATATTGTCCAATCGAGTCGTGGTGGCCCGACGCCTGCTACTCCTCTCATGTAGGATCGCACAGGATCGTAGGATCACACTAGGCGAAAACAATTAGGTATAACATTGTTAACGAGTTAAAAATATCAATTATCAAAATCAAATATCATTTTTTTCCATTTATTAATTGGAATGTAATGATAAATTCTATGGTGTTATGGTAACTTAATTTTTTTTTACTACCTCTAGTTACGAATGTTTCAACAAGTCCCGTATGATAAGAGTGGACCCAATTGCCAAACACCGGATATAATTAATTTTGTTTATCTTCATAACAGTTCTATTATTAGTTCGACGCATAGATATTAAGGAATTAAGTTTGTAAATTTTCATTATGCGTGACTTGTCAGCATTTTTTAATCAACCTGAATGAAGGCGTATGATTTGAATGATTAATATTAATTTGTAATTAAGCATTACGATTTTTCTTATAATCCTTTTCATTCACAGTCCTGCCAATCTTTTGGGCACTATCATCATTAGCTTGCAACTGTCAGACTGCTGGGCAAAGGTTGTTTTTTATACGCAGTGGGAATGAGCAACACTTCTCGGCCGCAAATATGAATTTTGCATAAGTACATTGTTGATTTTAAGTTTTTTTTTATGGCATAAGCCGGTAAACGAGCAGACGGATCACCTGATGGTAAGCAATCGACGTCGCCCATGGACACCTGGAACACTAGAGGCGTTACAAGTGCGTTACCGGCCTTTTGGGAATTAGGAGTTTGAGGATCGTTAAGGATTCAGAGATTGGGGAGGAAGGGGAGGGTAATTGGGCCTCCGGTAACCTCACTCACACGCAACACAACGCAAGCGTTGCTTTACGTCGGTTTTCTGTGAGGCCTTGGTATCACTCCGGTCGAGCCGGCCCATTCGTGCCGAAGCATGGCTCTCCCACGCTTAAAAAGTACTTATATTTCTGTACTATATAGCTTCTGTTCGCGTTCTTGTGGTATAAAAAGTGGTCTATGTGTTATTCCAAACCATCATCTGGATTCTGTAACTCGTCGAGTACCGGTTTTGTAGACACAATTATATAGAACAATAGGTTGCGGTCACCGGTGACCGCTTGGTGTTTGACAGTTTAAGCCGTTTTGACATGATTGAGTAACAGTAACAAACATAGACACGACACACGAACGCACAAAATTTCGCATTTATAATATTAGTAGAAAGTATAAGACCTGTTCTTATAAGACCTATCCCTATACCCTGACAATCGTATAGTGTTATAATTTGAGGAATAAAGTTTTAAATAAATATAAGTTTTGCCTTCTGACATTTTTTTTACGAGTGGGGTTAAGTCCCTTAATGCCGGACGGCCCCTAACGCCGGACACTTGTATTTTCTCAATAACTAATAACGCGAGAGATTTAATTTTTACGGGGGAAATCGCCCAGTGGCAGACACCTAAGATTTTTAGTAAAAATTGAATCGCTCGTGTTATCAGTTATCGTGAAATGACAAGTGTCCGGCGTTAGGAGCCGTCGGGCGTCACGGGACTTCCCCTACTACTTCTTCTCCTGCTTCAGTAGAAGTAGGGGTAGTAATTAGAGTGTAATGAGGACTAGGAGGAAATGTAGCTGTTGTCCGCGTAGAATAGGTATAATTTTAGGACATAACTTCTCTTTATGTTTCAATTTTCCAAAATAAAAGTAGCCTATATTACTCCTCAGTACGTCAAGTAGCTAGCAATAACACTCCCATCAAAATGGGTCCAGCCATTTCAGAGATAGAAAGTACAAACACACTGATTGGCAAAATTGTAAACAATGTTTTTTTGATATGTGTATCGTATATTATGTATTATTGTTATTATGGTTATTTTAATATTACAAGCAGACACTCCAATTTCATTTATCCGTATAGATTTACAGGCGTTAGATATAAAACACATAAGAATTATTCATCATTACGATTAGATATAAAGATTATTTTAGATCTGTTATTGTTTTGATTTTATTTCGGTAAACAAACAATGCATTAGTTGCTTAGTTTAAAATAAAAAAAAATACGAGTGAATACTAATTATATACATAACTTCACGCTTGTCTCCCATGGGGTTCTTTTTTTTTAAGGGGGAAAATCATCGAATGATTGCTCCCGCCTGGGTGAGGCGGGAGGGAGTGTCAGACTCTTACTGACTAAAAACCACCCCGTTCCTTCTCCTGCACGTCGAGTCGGAGCCCCGGTTACCCGTTAGGTTCTCCGCGACGTCTCCCATGGGGTTAGGCGCTATGGAGCGCCTATTACTACGATTCCTACATACCTCTTTCGCTTCATCGACAGTCATCAATCTTTTCATGCATGCACGTCGGTTAAAAAATTACAGAGTGCGCCAAATAAAATCCTATGTTCCGTAGTTACCTATTTTAACTAAAAATCGTGCTTGCGACGATGTCGCGACTAATTGTACTAGTACTAGTAGTGTTACTAGTAGCTGCTAGTAGAAGTAGTGCTACTAGTAGTAGCGCACGCTGCTCATGAGGAAGAGCCCCCCTGTGACTCGAAACTAGTAGAGCTTTTCTCAGTATATTTATTTATTTTTTTCTTCTTCACAAAACATAACAGTGAATGGCGGACTTAATGCCTTAAGGCATTCTCTTACAGTCAACCATAGGGAAGTGCAGAGAAATGAAGCGGTTGATGCGAAGCCAGAACACAAATCAAAAAAATTGTTAAGTAATATGTATACTACACAATAAATACCTATAGAATAAATATATTAATACAATATTTTATAAATCTATATAGAAATACATATTAAATAATACCTGCCCTTACTGCTAAACGAATACTTATACCTACTGCATATAGAGGTACAAGGTGTTGTTTTAAAGCCGCGTCATTTTCTAGTAGGTAACTCAGATATTGATTTTGAGTCCAAATCAATAAAAAAATTGTAGGTAAATGTTTTTCATTTTTTTGAAATTCCAGAAATCCGTAAGTGCGAAGTACACGCCGTCGTCTTGTATTAGCTTTATAACGCGGCTTAACACACAAACTCAAACACGTAATTGATATTATTCCTGATTCCATAAAACTCCAATAGTATACATTGCTGTCGCTTATCTGAAATACTGTCGAACTTAAACGATTTATTATAGCCGAATTTTTAACTATTGGCCCGAAATTTTCTCTTACATTGAACCTTTATGACTTCTGTGACATGCCCCGGAGAAATGACACGGTTTCAAAACTATTACACCTTGTATTACAATATACATATTATAAAAAAAAACTTTGTGTAAATAGTTTCCTCAATTGTTAGGTATTATCAGTATACTCACGTGAGTAACCCGCGATTTTTAGTTAATTTAGTATGTCTCACGATAGTTTTTAAAAACATAGCAAATCGGTACCTATTTTCGCTGATTCCTCCACTTGACCCTAAGAGTGACTATTAGAAAAGAAAATGTTATATGGCATTAAGCCTGCCTTTATGAATCAACCATTATGTATTGCAAACTTAAACAGTTTATTTAAATAAGTAAATAAAAACCCAATAGGCTCACCCCCTATTGCATGGACTCATAACATAAATAGTGAAAAGTAGATGTTACATTGTACAGTGGCATTAAGTGCTGTAATGTGCACCTCTACCTACCCCTACGGGGATAAACGGGCGAAGATTTTACGTGACAACGTCTTTTTCTCGGTAGAATATTTATTGATATGAATATAATTAAATTGCACAATAGGAACAAGGAATTGAATGAACTAGTGCTGCGCGCGCGGCAGACCGATCATAGTTGAGTGGGAGAGAGACGCAAGGCATTCGGCGGGCCTCTCTCTCGTTCGGTGACTCATCGTAACGTTACCGAGCGTTACACTTTTTCATAAGTGACTCCCAGCCGCAACCTAATTTAAGACGTTGTCACGTCAAAAAACCGAAAAAAGAAAAAAGAAAAATAAAATAAAGTATAATTACTTACCAGCAAATTTTAGAAATTCATCGAAGTCTTGAGCGCTCTTCAGTTTGTATTTAATATTAAGAAACTTGTCAATATTAGCCATTTTATTTTCTTTCCTTTTTAGAGGTCTGTTACTTAAAGCCCAATTACTAACTGCTGTGTAAAATATTTAAAATTGTGCTATTTATATATATTGTGTACAAAGTCTATCAGCATAATTTCATGATCATTCATTTCTTCATAATATGTATACATAGCAGCAATGTCAGCTACCATAATCTGCCCAATTCCTTTAATCAATTATCAACTTTAATACTTATGTGTAGAGTGGAAAATTGTTTACTATAAGACAGTTTACCTTGATGTGCTGGCTATGCAACCTAAAATGTTGTGATTTTCGATAGTAGATTTTATCACAATGAATGAAATCACATCTTAGTTTATCTATGGATTTGTTTCTACAAATCACCGTTTGTTTGCAGATTTTTTTTTAATTGTTGTATTGGTAGGTAGTATAAGTTATTTGTGGTTGGCCAGTGGCGGGGATTAGACTGAGTCGGGGGTCTCAGGAGTGCGTATATTTTTATTTATTCATTCATTTATCATTTCATTTATACAATACAGAGGACAATATTACAGAAGACAACACATTACAAGCATGAGGTAGGTACATAGGTACTGCATATCCCTTAATTAATTTCTATTTTATTTGACTTTTTTTCTAAACATATAACATCACGCCTTTTATACCCGAAAGGGTAGGCAGAGGTGCTCTACATGCAACTATACAATATAACACCAACTCTTTACTATTTATGTTAATGTTTCAAATAATAATTTGTTTTTGATCTCATTTAGATTCAATGGCAGTAATTTTTTTAGTAACAATTTTGTGTTATTAATTAATTATATTATTGCTTACTGGATATGCATTTGCCATAAATTAATTATTAATTTCGAGAAACTTTCAAATCTATCCTACATTTATATGTGGGAGAACCATGCTTTGGCAAGAATGTGCCGGTTCGACCGGAACTGAAATGATACAATGGCTTCATAGAAATCCGATGTGAAACAACGCTTGCGTTGTGTTTCGTCATGTGAGTGAGGTAACCAGAGGCCCAATTACCCCTCCCCTTTCCAATCTCCCTAATCCTCAACAATCCTAAATTCCTAATCCCCAAGGCCGGTAACGCACTTGTAACGCTTCTGGCGTTTCGGGTGTCCATGGGCGACGCCGATTGCTTACCATCAGGTGATCTGTCTGGTCGTTTACCGGCTTATTCTATAAATAAACCTAAATACAGAAACTAAATTTTTTGTTTTCGTTATTAACCTTTGTCCTTCCTTTTCGATTAATAGAAGGCATGATGAATGATTAAGACATGCTGATCTATGATGTGTAGCCAAAATACATAATAAATATCGACGTGGACATTTGGTCCCACGTGGACAATCAGCCCCGGTTTAGGCTTTAATTTTAACTTTTGTCAGTAGGTAATGTACATAATCTGCAGGTTAGATCTTTTCTATCAATTTTGTTTATGATCTTTTTTATCTTCATTGTCTTGATATAAAGTCGAAAATCCAACTAAAGCAGATTATACTTACAGATTATATTAGCTTGTCTTGCTACTGGTCATTGTTGGTGTAGTTAAAAGTAAAAAAGGTTATTAAATACATAAAACTGTAAAATAGAATAAAACTTTAAGAAAAAAAACTAATTACAATAAACAACCAATAATTTTATTGACTTACAAAGATACAATAATAATTTTTCTCTAACGACCACCCGTGTAACATAAATAACAATAAATTAATTATACATTTATTAATTTTATTTAATCTTTGACTACTTCGTATATTCGGACACACTTGCCATCCCAACCGTCTGCTGTAGATACCTGTAAAAAAGAAAAAAAGTTATAACTATACCAATATTATAAAGCCTTTCCATCATCGTACCACAAGACAATCGGCGAAGCATAACCAATATATCGTAGATGCACAAAGCGCTTCGTATCAAGCTTCCTTGTGTGTACTGCTAAGGAGCGAAATTCTTTGCTGTCTGTATTTCCTGAAGGGTATAACCTGGTAGTCTTCAAGGCCCGAGTGAATGGGTTGCCTATGGGACGACGTGCTCCATCGTAGGCTACAACATAGCTTACCAACAGGCGAGACAGTGGTCAAACGTCAGTCCATCAAATAAAATGCATGCATGCATCATTTCAGTCAAATTATATACAACAAAAGCACTGTTACATGCAGTCAAGGCTTAAGCATGCTATCTTAAAGATAACTGATATAGATACTACTGATAATATATCTTAAAGATGACTGCCAATAGAAAACTGGTGAACGCAAATCCTCCACTAACATCGGTTACAGGTGACCCCCACGGCATTTAATGTGTTAAAGGCGTTCTATTGAGCATGCACAAAAAAATTCAAAAATCGAACGCCTGCCGATTCGTAAACATGCTCGAAATGAAATGAGCATGCTAAGTTTGAGCAACATTCCGACACACATGCCACTAAGTGACAAGTACTCAATTGAAGCATGCTTTCGTGTTTAACATTATCTTGTGTAGGTCGCATTAGAACTTTATTATCACGAGTTTCAAAAGTCGAAATAACACCATACATACTTTATTCAACATAACATATCATAACATAACATCACGCCTTTTATCCCTGAAGGGGTAGGCACATTATACCACTGTGCAATGTAACACCCACTTTTACGCTATGAGTCCCATGTAATCAGGGGTGAGCTTATTGCCATATACCGGACACAATTCCAGACTCCGTGTTGCTACTGAGAATTTTTTTATCCAGTAATACTTTGCCCGACCTGGGAGTCGAACCCGAGACCCCTTGCCCGGCAGTCGCGCTTGCGACCACTCGGCCAACGAGGCAGTCACTTTATCCAACGTGTACATCAAACCTAAAGCGGTATCACTCATAACTAAGACCAAGAAAGCAATCTAGTTACTAACTAGACTACTAAACTATAATTACACCTATAAATATTTTATGCTCATACAATTAAAATTTAACCACACTAAGGCTCGACAAAGAGAAATTAAATATGAATACTCCCTAGCCTTCATTTGAAACCATTCTAATGAAACTACGTTCCAATTCTCGTTAACCAATAATTACCTTAGTTACACGTTCATTATAATTTCTAAACGAGGGCTCGACCTGTTTAGTCGCTTTTAGTTTGTAATTAAAAATTTATTATAGGCTAAGTCTACCTGCTATTAAAAAAGGTAAAGACAAATATCTTTTAGACCAATTTGTACTAAACTCTTTGGACATTAGATACTTTTGTGTGAAGAGTAATCATCGTCATTACTTGTCCACGACAGTACACAATAGTACACATCATAACATAACATTACGCCTTTTATCCCGGAAGGGGTAGGCAGAGGTGCACATTACGGCACATAATGCCACTGTAAAATTTAAAACCCACTTTTCACTACTTATGTTATGAGTCCTATGTAATAGGGGGTGAGCCTATTGCCATATACCGGGCACATTTCCAGATTCCGTGCTACTACTGAGATTTTTTTAAAAACCCAGTTATACTTTTCCCGACCCGGGAATCGAACCCGAGACCCCTTGCCCGGCAGTCGCACTTGCGACAACTCGGTCAACGAGGCAGTCAAAATTAAATATATCTTAAAGTATGTAGGTATGATGAACATAATACTACTCAAAACCTCAAAACGCAATGAGGACCACCTAGATTTTAGGCTTTTATCAAAAAACTGAATTAAAAGAATAGGTATAATACATACTAAGGCATTGTTTAGACTAATTGCTGAATACTTTTTTCACTATGTTTCAAGATTCGGGTATACTTACAACTGTCAGTAGCTCCGGTGTGAAAGTCCGCACATGCGTGGATTTCCTCCCGTTGTCCTCCGACTGTGTTTGTATCAACGTGTCATCTTCAACCACCATCAAGGATTTGGTCTGGAAATATTATTAATCATAGAGTATTGTTACATAATATTTAAAATAGTAGATAGATACTCAAACAGCCTACTCTACAAAAGAGGGTATTGCTATATTCCCACGCTTGAGAGGCAGATCCATAATAAAACCTTCATAATCAAATTTCACCTTGACGTAACCTCAAATGGTATCAAATATTAAAACAAAATGGCTGAAGAAATGCAAAAAAAGCCCTTCCATGGCATCACCTTGATATTTTATTCAAGTGTTTTTGACAACACTGATTGTCGCACAGGGACAACTTTCTTTGATTTTTTTTTAGGAGACAAACCGGTAATCTGTTAGACGGATCACCTGATGGTAAGCAATCGGCGTCGCCCATGGACACTCGGAACACCAGAGGCGTTACAAGTGCGTAACCGGCGTTTTGAGAATTAGGAATAAGGACTGTTGGGGATTCGATGATTAGGGAGATTGGGGAGGGAGGGTACTTGGGCCTCAAATAACCTCTTACACAACGAAACACAACGCAAGCGTGGTTTGATTGGTAAGTGAAACAACTGCAATAGAATTGGAATCCGATTTGCAGTTGGCATAGATAATATTATTCAGTTCTAAAAGAGTGTGGGAAATAAGGAGTTTAAAAAAAAATATCATGAGAATCCCTGAACATAAAGAAAAAAAAACAATTTTAAAATCACCAATCTTCTGGAACAAGCCTGGTGATGTGCTAGTATTAATGCTCATTCCTTCTTAGTTTGAAAAGGGAGCTTAACCTAGCACTGCACGGGTAAAGGTTGATGATAAAAAAGCGAAGACTTAAATGTTATCTTCGTTCATCTGGTGCCATTTGATCGCCGACTTCAGGGACACCGTGTACAGCAATAGGGTTGCTAAATCCTACATAAAATTTAGATATTCCACTGCTAACACGAGGCAATGACTAGCAGAAAGTTCTTCATAGCACTTTCCAAGAACCATCAGGTAATATTCGATTCGAAATAACCTTCAAGTATCAATTTTTCCGCAATTTTCATACGAAAGTAGCCATCATACAAAGTCAAGCAATTTTCTGTCGTCGTTTCACAATCAATATTCATATGAAATAACCCTACGTATCATATATACATTAGATCACCGTAATGGCGAAACAGACCTATCAATTTTTCATCAATATTGAATGAATGATTTCTATGTGACTGAATTCCTATTCCTAAGTCATTGGGGGAGCACCGGCCTGTAGACGGCGAGCATGGGTGGTTCGCCCGACCTGAACCAGACCCGGGCGTATTGCGCGTCGCGTTTCGCGCGCGCCTTAAAGAGCCTCAAAGAGCAACCACGGATGGGGCCCAATAGGGACTGATGTCGATATGGAGCCGCGGAGGACTTTACGGGTTGCCGGGGTTCCGGCTCGAAGGGCAGGAGTAGGAACGGGGTGGATTTTAGTCAGTAATACGACTGGAAACGCATTTCTAAAACCTCTGATATTGACCGGTGTCCACGGGGTTTTTATGAAATAAACCAGTAAACAAGCATACGGATCACCTGATGGTAAGCATTCGGCCCATGGACACCCGAAATACCAAAGGTGTTGCTAGTGCGTTACCAGCCTTTTGGGGATTAGGAATTTAAGGATTATTAGGGATTTGGGAATTTGGGAGCTTGTGAAGGGGGGGTAATTAGGCCTCCGATAACCCCACTCACTAAACACAACGCAAATGTTGGTTTTCTGTGAGACCGTAGTATCACTTCGGTCGAACTGGCTCATTCGTATCGAAGCATGGCTCTCCCACACTTGCATGGCTCTAATTGCTTAACATCAGGACATCAGGTGCTCCGTCTGCTTTATTAACCCCCAAAATATTACGACAGATAATAACCTTAACACCATCAGCTCTCTCCTCAACGAACTCCTCGTTCAACTTGAAGCTGAAGGTAATAGTTTTAAAGGAGGTGGTCATCGTGAAGGTGTAGGTATCGCCATCCTTAGTCAGCACTGCTACGGGGCTGACTGCGCAGGCGGCTTTACGGGAGATCATGCCGACTCCTGGAATGAAGATGGAGAAATATGAGTTGGTGTTAAAAACTATTTAAATGGCTATTTACGAAAATAGAGAGAAAGAAAAAACTTTATATCACTCGCTAAAAAAAAGTCTGGAATTGTGCCCGGTATATGGCAATAGGCTCACCCTCTATTACATGGGACTCTTAACATAAATAGTGAAAAGTGGGTATTACATTGTACAGTGGCATTAAGTGCCGTAATGTGTACTTCTGCCTATCCCTTCGGGGATAAAGGCGTGATGTTATGTTATACAGTTTATAAATAGTACTGGTTACATATTTGTACAAGTCTTCGGTGAAATGGGGCCAGTGGACCAGGCCTTGCACTGGTATTCTACTGGCCTCTTAAGTGATTTGCAGACGAATAAGCCACGAATCGGACAACAATTAGCAAAATCATTTCATTGAAATTATTCGTCATCGAATACACTAGAATTCGATGTTTAAAATGTAGTGTAAGCAGCTAGTATTGTAAAGATTTAAATAATTTGTTAATATAATTGTAACAGTATTTAATTAGAATTTGAACTATAACATTTACAGGCCATTAATTTGGTACTTTTAGCATATGCAAGGTACATTTAACATATGCAAATTTAAATGCAAAAGACAGTAAAAAATGTCTGCTATTTGTCAGTAGACTGTCCGCGCAGACTGCTCATCAGGACGGGTCCCTCTGTGACTTGAAACTAATAGAGCTTTTCTCAGTATATCTACGTGATTAACTCGTAATTTTCAGTTAATTCAGTATGTCTTACTATAGTTATTAGATGGAACTCACCATTAATTAGTTAAACTATTGTTTTTTAGTGAAGGGAAATATTTCATCTCCGTTTCATGATCAAAACCGTACTTTAAAGCTATGAAAAATTAAGATTTCTATTCCATCTATATAAATACGTTATTCTTAATAACTATACTTTGTTTCATAAAGATCTAGAACTGTGCTACAATAAGCTAAGTCATTATTATACCTTTGAATAGACAATATCTTACAACATTATAGTCAATTATAGTGTTGTCATGGGTAGTCATTAAATTATATATATTCCGATGTTCACAACTTTATAATGAAGATACTTATATCATCACGGCTATCTTGCCTTGATTTTTGTATGGAATAAGCCGGTAAATGAGCAGACGGCTCACCTGATGGTAAGCAATCAGCGTCGCCCATAGATACCCAAAACACCAGAGGCGTTACAAGTGCGTTACCGGTGTTTTAGCGATTTGAGGAATGTTGGGGATTCCTGGATTGAGAAGATCGGGGAGGGGAGGTTATTGGGCCCCCGGTAACCTCACTCATGGTCGAACCGGCCCATTCGTGCCGAAGCAGGGCTCTAACATGTTTAAAGTAAGTTGGCAATCCAATAACATTTGTTGGAATAATCAATATCTTGGGAACAGTAGTTCACAAGATTTAGATTATTTTGTCTTGTATAGTTTATTTATCCAGGAGGTTTATCGGCTACAAGACAAATCGTTGCGACCATTGGAGAAGAGCAGAGCAGGTAAGACCGCGCGGGACCATACATAACATCGCGCCTTTTATCCCCGAAGGTGTAGGCAGAGGTAACATCAATTTTCACTGTTTATGTTATGAGTCCCATGTAATAGGGAGTGAGTCTATTGCCATATACCGGGCCCAATTCCAGACTCCGTGCTACTACTGAGATTTTTTGAAAACCCAGTAATACTTTGCCCGACCCGGGAGTCGAGACCCCTTGCCCGGCAGTCGCACTTGCGACCACTCGGTCAACAAGGCAGTCGCGGGACCAGTTACTTCAATTATACATACAGTGTTATCTGTTTTATATTTATACGTCTACCGTGGTCGACAAGCCTAGACCAACTTATTATCTTGTTTAGAAAAAATCCTTTGGACTTTGAACACTACATAATTAAAATCAACCTATTTATAATGTGAATAGAAAAAGCCATAGCATTTAAACTGCGAGATTAGTGATGTGAATAAAAAAATTTTTTTATTAATCTACGCAAGAGGAAGTCGTTAGATTACTTTAGATTTTTTTAGGTTATTATTGTCGTGATGTTTTCTGACACACTATTAGGTACATTTTAGTAATAAAAACCTTCTATACAATAATTTAAGAATACATAGATGATCAACGTCATCATGTAGAGTACATGATAGTCTACTACTCGAAGAGGCACAGTTCTTGGCGAGAGGGTTGAAGATAGCAGTAGGCCTATAGAAGATACGGGATAATCGGAGCGCTCAGATGCCCCGGTCTCTGTTAATGTTATATGCGGGCACACACTTTCAATTTTAACTCTTTTTTTATGGCATAAGCCGATAAACGAGCAGACAGATCACCTGATGGTAAGCAATCGGCGTCGCCCATGGACACCTGGAACACCAGAGGCGTTACAAGTGCGTTACCGGCCTTTTGGGGATTAGGAGTTTGAGGATCGTTGGGGATTCAGGAATTGGGGAGATTGGGGAAGGTGAGGGTAATTGGGCCTCCGGTAACCTCACTCACACGACGAAACACAACGCAAGCGTTGCTTCACGTCGGATTTCTGTGAGGCCGTGGTATCACTCCGGTCGAGCCGGCCCATTCGTGCCGAAGCATGGCACTCCCACCTTTTTTTTTCAGACAGTGATTTACTTTGTATTACCAATATAAAATGAATTTTCGTTCGTTTTTCTCGCTAAAACTAGAGAACGACTTAACCGATTTGGCTAATTTTGGTCTTAAAATATTCGTGGAAGTACAAGGGAGGTTTATAAGGTGATAGAAAAAAATTAAGCGGTCCGAAGATTGTGGGGTCAGCTATCTACCAATAAAAACTAGGAAAACTCATGAGGAAGAGTCCCTCTGTAACTCGAAACTAGTAAAGTCTAGAATCTCAGTATATTTACCTATGTGATAAAACCGGTATTTTTAATTACTTTAGTATGTCTCACGACATTTATTATACAAATAAATTAAAATCTATGCCCAAAAATTAAAAAAAAAACTATTTAACTTACCAATAAACTTCAGATATTCTTCAAATTGCTCAGAAGACTTCAGTTTGTATTTAATATTCAGGTATTTATCTATGCTCGCCATTGTACGGACTGTGTCTAGACGCGGTCAGCTGACGACTAGTGGGAGATTCTTCTTAGTTAGTGCGACTCTGAAAACATAATACAAATGATTGTTAGTATAGTCGATATATTGTGGTATAGTTTGTAAGAACTAATTCAGATTGTAACTACACTCGAGAGCAAGGAAACTGAGCCACTAGCGCCTATTATTATCTTTTTATCGACCCCTCTAATAACTTTAGAAAAAATATTCCTTCAAAAACAAAATGTTCTCGTTTCAAAGGTAACTTAATTGCCTTTTGTACGACATTTTTTTATGGCATAAGCCGGTAAACGACCAGACGGATCACCTGGAACACCAGGGGCGTTACAAGTGCGTTACCGGCCTTTTAGGGATTAGGAGTTTGAGGATCGTTACGGATTCAGGAATTGTGGAGATTGGGGAAGGGGAGGGTAATTGGGCCTCCTGTAACCTCACTCACACGACGAAATACAACGCAAGCGTTGCTTCACGTCGGTTTTCTGTGAGGCCGTGGTATCACTCCGGTCGAGCCGGCCCATTCGTGCCGAAGCATGGCTCTCCCACACACATACGTTACCAGTTAATCAAATACTTGTGTTAGAAAATATTACCAAGAAATGAAAAAGGAAACGCTACATAACGGCTACGTTTCCTTGCTACTAAGTGTATGTTTGCTGATACGGAGCCGCGGAGGACTAAGGGTTGCCGGGGCTCCGGCTCGAAGTGCAGGAGAAGGAACGGGGTGGTTTTAGTCGGTAAGAGTCTGACACCTTCTCGCCCCCACTCAAGGCGGGAGAATCATTGGATGATTTTTCCCCTCATACAAGAGTGTATGTTTGTTGGTGAGTCATTGATGTAGTTATAGCTGGAAATGTTGCTCTTTATCTTTTTGAAATTCCGATACGGATACGGGTATCAAATTTATAAGAACTGATGTAATTAGGTACATAAATATTCTGTTACATTCATGGTAAAAACCTACATAATTTTATTTCAAAATAGATTATTGATGATAATTATGTTACGTTTAGGCTCAAAAACTGTTGGCAATCTTAAGTATAATCGGTGTTTTAAAATTAATAAATATGAATTAATAGGTTACATATAGGCTCAACAACTGTTGTACCTGACAATCTTATAATTGGTACTTTAAAATTAATCTGAATAATAAATATATTTGATAAAATAATTTTAGTTAATGCTCCATAAATTAAAGGATTTAACGTTACGATTTTGAACCTAGATTAGGAGGTGACATTAACTTACAGGCATATAGATTAAAAATAAAAACAGTCAAATTAATCACAAGATTTCTTATAAATCGTTGAAACAATACTGATAAAAAACATTCCCTTAATAATGACGTAAGTAATCAATTTATAACTTAAAAAATCTTAGTTAGTCACCAGATTATTATCGATTTTAAAGAAATTGAATAGTTATCGTAGTTACGCATACGCATATGGAATCATGTATTATTTTGGTTGAGCGATTTATTACAATGATATCATAGTAAATAATATGTTCCAAGTCAATAGTAACAATTTTATTGATAACCTTCTGTTAGTCAGTTACAAAAAATGTTTAAAATAATAAAAACATAACATAACATAACATCACGCCTTTTATACCCGAAGGGGTAAGCAGAGGTGCACATTACAGCACTTAATGTCACTGTACCATGTAACACCCACTTTTTACTATTAATGTTGAGTCCCATGTAAAAGGGGGTGGGCCTATTGCATATGTATACCAAGCACAATTCCAGGCTCCGCGTTACTGCAGAGATTTTTTTTTAAACTCAGTAGTAGCTAATACTTTTCATGACTCGGGAATTGAAACTGAGACCCCTTGGCAGGTAGTCGTACTGGCGACCACTCGGCCAACGAGGCAGTCACTAACTTAATTACTCATTAACTATTAATAATATGTATTAAGTATTATATTATATCCATTCCTTAATACGTATATAAGTAATAAATAACTTATCAAATCAAAAACATATTACCAAGACTGCTTCGTAACTGACTGACTGACAGACAACATTCAACTAAAATTAATGACCGTAGAAAGCAGTAATTCGGTCTTTGCCTAGGTTTATTACGAAGCACTGATGCGTGCATTCTTGATGTCGATAACCCTATTTTTGTAATGTGTGGTATAGTTTTATTATTATGGCACGAGCCGGTAAAGGAGCAGACGGATCACCTGATGGTAAGCAATCGTCGTCGCCTAGTACAAGTGCGTTACCGGCCTTTTGGGGATAAGAAGTTTGAAGATCGTTGGGGATTCAGGGGTTGAGGAGATTGGGGAAGGGGAGGGGCGTAATTGGGCCTCCGGTAACCTCACTCACACGACGAAACACAATGCAAGCGTTGCTTCACGTCGGTTTTCTGTGAGACCGTGGTATTACTCCGGTCGACCCAGCCGATTCGTGCCGAAGCATGGCTCTCCTACACTTAATTTCATGACTGTAATGAACCGATCTTAGTTAATTTATGGATTCATACAGAATTTTAACAGAATCCAATAGAATTACTGTCAAGAATCTAATAATCGCCATCAAATATTATGGATGCAATTAATTTCGTTGCTAGTCGATAAGTCATATAACATATACAGAGTGAAATTTTGTAATGCCACCTGGAGGGCAAGTACTCTCAATACTTAAGATGTAAAATTGTATTCACAGAAACCAATCCTTTATTTTTGAAAAGAAACAAAATAGCATTCAAAAATTTAAAAGAAATAGCTTGTTTCACCCGGTAATCGAACCGACTAAAATATTTGTCAAAGTTTGCACCCTGTACATTTATTGCATCGATTGTTAGGGTCAATAAGGATGAAATCTCACTAACTTTCATAAATTTAATGAAACGAAAACAATGAACGATCGATGCAATAAATGTACAGGGTGCAACTTTTAAAGATTTTAGTCGGTTCGATTACCGTGTGTGGTAAGCTAATTTTAAAAATCTTTGAATGCAGTTTTCTTTCTTTTTAAAAATAAAGGAATGTTTTCTTTGGGTAAAATTTTCTATCTTAAGTATCTATTAAGAGCAGTTCCTTCCCCTTCAGGTGGCACTACAAAATTCCACCCTGTATGTATAAGTACCATTCTTTGATTCTACTGTTTAAACAGTAGGTATCTGTGAAGATGGCATATATATGGCAATAGGCTCACCCCCTATTACATGGGACTCATAACATAAATAGTGAAAAGTGGGTGTTACATTGTACGGTGGCATTAAGTGCCGAAATGTGCACCTCTGCCTACCCCTTCGGGGATAAAAGGCGTGATGTTATGTTAATTATGTTATGTATCTGTGAAGACGTGTGCCCCTTGAAGAAAAGAATCAGCTTTAAGAGATGACTTATTCTTTCATGATTCCTAATGGAAAAGAAAAAAAATAAGTACAAATATTATGTATGGAGTCGTAATACAAAATCGAGCCATTCTAAAATAACTTAAAATACAGTTTTAAAAGGTCAAAAGTTGATTGACGACCAAATTGTATATAAATAAGTACATTATAATATTGTAATGTGAAATCTAAACGTATTTTATATAAGGTTCAAAGTTTCCATTGATCGTGAATGAACGAAACGAAATGGATTATAGAAATCCCATCACAATAAAGATACAGTTTTATATATACATACATAACTTCACGCCTGTCTCCCATGGGGGTAGGCAGAGACTAAGGAACGCCAATTACTACGATTCTTACATACCTCTTTCGCTTCATTAACAGTCATCAATCTTTTCATGCATGCTCGTCGGTTAAGGGTACTTTTAATTTGGCCCTTCTTTAATATATCGCCAATCTGGTCACTATATGTCCGTCTAGGGCGCCCTCTACCGACGGCCCCATTCATATCCGCTCTGTATACTTCTTTCGTTACTCTACTTTCATCCATCCTTTCTACATGTCCAAACCAGCGTAACATTCCCTTTTCAATCCTTGTCACTACATCATCTTTCAATCCACACCTTTCTCTAATAACACTATTTTTCACTCGATCACTCAATTTTAGTCCACACATACTTCTTAGGGCTCTCATTTCCACCGCATTAATCCTGCTTTCATGCTTCTTCTGCCACACCCATGATTCACTACCATACATAAGCGTTGGTGTCAATACACACTGCATTACAGCAAGTCGAGCTTTGCTGGATATTATTTTACTCGACATGACAGAGTGTAAAGCACCATTAACACTATTTCCCGCTTTCACTCTCCTTTCAATATCCCCGTCACACTTTCCATCTCTCGTAAATAGTGATCCCAGATACACAAATTCATTCACTTGTTCCAATTTTTCATCACCTATCATTACCTGACATTCTGTTATCACCTCATTTCTTTCTATCACCAACACTTTCGTCTTGTTCACATTTACTTTCATACCTTTCCTTTCAAATGCATCATTCATAGCAGTGATCATTTACTTCACGTCGGTTTTCTGTGAGGCCGTGGTATCACTCCGGTCGAGCCGGCCCATTCGTGCCGAAGCATGGCTCTCCCACACTTCCCGTTGTCACGCCATAACTTGAGAACGGCTAGACCGATGTGGCTGATTTTTTTTGTTGTGCTTATTATTGTCAGGAGAAGGTTCTTATGACAGGAAAAGGTCCTGAAAATCCTATGGGAACGGGAAAAACGGGATTGCGCGAACGAAGTCGCGGGCAGAAGCTAGTAATCGTTAATAATTGTTCCATGCATGCACAGCAATTCGATGGTGCGGAGGCAACTAATCCTTATTTTTTATCCTCGATAGATACCCTTAAAGATTGATGACTGTTGATGAAACGAAAGTGGTATGTAGGAATCGTAGTAATTGGCATCCCATAGAATCTGCCTACCACCATGGGAGACGGGCATGAAGTTATGTATGTAAGTAGATACCCTTAAGTTTTTCGCAAAACCTGTTTAAAGATATACTGTAGCTACTGTAAAAACGTATAATTGGTTTATATAGCATAATTATACTAAATTTATATTCATAGTGTTATAGGTACTTAGCTGTTGGTTAGGTACCCAAAATTAAAATAAATAAATAATAATTTTCATGCTCAGTAGGTGAGTAGGTTGGTAGTTTACGTAATATCATTAAGAATGATGCTTTATTTAATTTAGGTACTTATCAACTGAAAATGTTGAAAATAATCCATTCAGCAACCGTTCTACTATAATCGATATCCCACTGGACTGTTTGTCGACAGGATTATTCATTTGTTTCCAAAACAGATCATTAGATTCGGCCGTTAGTAAGGACACTGTAATCTACTTATCTATATAAAAGAAAGTCGTGTTAGTTACACTATTTATAACTCAAGAACGGCTATATCGATTTGGATGAAAATTGGTGGGGATGTAGCTTAGAACCAGGAGATAGGATACTTTTTACCCAATACTTATTTTTTACTTTTAACCGAAAATCAAGAACGGGTACGGGAAATATCGGGATTGCGCGTACGAAGTCGCGGGCAGAAGCTAGTCTGTAGATAGACATATATATATGTGCATTTTTTGTAATATTGCTTGTCTTATGATTTGCGGCGAGTTTGCCGTCGTAGGTCAACATAGGTATGTAGCTAAAAGAGCTGTAGTTAAGTTTATCTTCGTGTCGGTGAAACACTTACTTATACTGAAACGATACTTAATTTTAAGCCGTGCTTAAATATCGTGCCATCTCTGTCATTTTACAAAGAGTTTGTAGAGACAGAACTATAATTAAGAGCGACTTAAAATTGAGTAGCGTTTGAGTATTCCGACATTAGTAGCTGAAAGGGCTGTAGTCGAAAGTGACGCATATGAATCGTTCTGTCGAGGAACACTCTAGTGACGAATCGGTTATGGCATCAAAATAATCATGGATCACTTTTTCACCAACCAGAGCTACAAAACTGACCCCTTGTACGATAGTCGCTCTTCTAATAAGAATTATTGCAATTGCTGGAATCAGCAAAAATAAATACATAACAATTAGTCACATTACATTGTAAATACCAACCACAGTTAGCCACCTGTTATGTTAATTATTTATTGTTTAAGCATAATTACTCGATGAATAATTAATTCAAAAGGCATAAATAATTATGTTAAAAGGTATTGTTTGTAGTGATATTCAAGTACAAGGCTTTTGTTCTTTTATTGAGTAAACTGCTAACTATTTTATCAAATAACTGATTTGACGAATATGCTCTTGCTCATTTTCTATTATAGATAAATTGTGCGCTAAAAGGTTAAGCAGTGATGACCTACATTTTACCATATTTGCACCCAAAAATCCCAATTTTAGACGAACATCATAGTAATGAAGTGGAACCCACTCAACCTCACGACGTCGCGGTAGGCCTAGAAGGAGATGACAGAATGAACTTGATGCCTATGAAAAGGATTGGCCACAGAAAGCTTTAAGAAAAGACGAATGGAAGGAGGGTGGGGAGGCCTTAGCCCTGCAGTGGCGACCATGGCTAAAAATAAAATAAATAAATAATCATAGTAATGGCAAACAAGAGTACAGTAAAATATTAAAATATCATGAAACTTCGCTCCATGTAACAACTTTCCCGAACGTACGGCACGTCGCGTTCCACGCGCGCGTCAAAGAGCCATCAGACCACCACGGATGGGGCCCAATAGGGCTGATGCCGATACGGAGCCGCGGAGAACCTGGCACGTTACCGGGGCTCCGGCTTGAAGTGCAGAAGTAGGAACGGGGTGGTTTTTAGTCAGTAAGAGTTTGACACTCCAGGAGAAGTCATTCGCTTACGGTGGCCGGAGATCGTAGAGGAATTTGTGTTCTGCTTTGATGTAACTGTATGAACGAGAAGGAGAGTCACACACGACAAGACATACGAGAAAGCCTACACAGAAAAGAATGTTGAGCAACTTCATTGGCAAATAAGATAGAAGATCAATAAACACACTTAGTTTATTGGTCATAAGTGAGGTTATTAAACTACATAGCTACGAATATTTCCTAATAAAATTTACATATCGGAATAAACTTTTCTCTTGGGCTTTTCCCGACTAGGTTGGAGGTGGTATATTCAACTAGAGCGACTGTCATCTGTCGTCGACTACTTGCTTACTAGCTAAATATGATCTTCTTAGTTTGTTAGTCCCGTTGATTCTCCATTTATTAGATACTAGCTTTTATAGGCTTCGCTCGCGTCACAAAAGGATAAAAAGTAGCCTATGTGACATATATCAATACACACAGCGCCATCTATACCAATAATTTCGATTTCCCTCAAGAAAATCATTTTTTTCCGGGATAAAAAGTACCCTATTATTTAATCCAGACTTCTAACTTTACGTCTGCAAAAATTCAAAGCAATCGGTTTAGTAGTTACGGCGTGAAAGCGGAACAAAGAAACAAACAAACTCACTTTCCGATTTATAATATTATACCTCTAGTAAGGATTTTAGTCATGACCTAACAAGCGCAGTCAATATTATGACGATTTTATTTATAGGTTTATCTCCTGGCTGGAGCTAAAAATACAATTGGTGAAAATGTGTTTGTATGAGATAAGTTCGCCACTTATACGCAGCTGTTGCAGTTCCCGGTAGCCAAGATCTACGATGGAAACCAACCATAGAATGGCCGAAATAATTCAGCTAGGTATGGAGATATGATATTCCGTCGTCCGTCTTCTATCGTCCTATAAATCGTCTCTTTTACCAGAATCCAGAAAGATGGGACGACAAGAAAAGGGATTGCACCCTTAAATGGATAGTGATCTCATTTCATCGTAAATAATTTATGTGATTATTTTAAGTCTGTTACCCGAACAAATTTATTCATATAGGCTTTACGATGGCATCACTGCATTTAACTCGTCGAGTACCGGTTTTGTAGACACAATTATAGAACAATAGGTTGCGGTCACCGGTGACCGCTTGGTGTTTGACAGTTTAAAGGTTAAATACTTATTGGATCCATAGTTTATATATAAGAGATATAATTTTGACACAATCTCCAAACAAAATGATTATGATATGAATGTGAACTTCACAACAGGAAAACGTGGGTGTATTAAATTTTAAATTCCTATACTTTTTCCAATCTTGATGTTAATATTAATATTCCAAGATTCCAATGTCAATATTGAAAAGTATATCTATATCTGAACCCAACCCAATAGTTGACTCAGAAATTGACAAACTGATAATGGAATAAAAAACTTATCAATAAGCGCGATTGTAAGATTACTGCAATTTTTATTATTATCTTTTATACTGTCATAGGGTTTAACTCGCGTAACCATTATTGTCCAACAGTGAATCATGGAATTAGATATCCAATATATTTAAAAATTAAATTATAATTCTTTTATTCTTATTTTTCATGTTATACAAATAACAATCTATTATTAAAGTTTTCACTGCCAATAAAAAACTGTTGAAGGCAAATCCTCCGGTAGCGTCGGACACCGGTGACCCCCATGGCGTTTAATATGTTAAGTTGTAAATATTTAATCTACATTTTAATTATTATTTCAGTAGGTATTTACTAACCTTTACCTAGCTTCACCTAATTTCACTGACGGACTGACTGGCAGACTATTATTTATTTTGTATTTGTTGACGTTTCAAAAGTACCGAACTATGATTTAATTGAAATAAATGCTTTGACTTTGACTTTCGACTTTGACTTTGACTAAGTATTGTAAATAAAAGTTAGGTACATCCCAATGACAAAAAAAAAGAAAAATCGTGTTTCAAAATGACATCGATAGCTGACAGTCAGCAAAATTGAATTATCAATGAATAATATTGTATTTCAATTTCAATTAGGTCCTTCTACTTATTGGCAATAATTTATAAATTCACGTTACATAAAGTAATAACAACTATGCTTAATACTGTGGTAAGAATAGTTGACTGCCTGCTATATTAGAGGTATAATAACAAACTAATTAATACTTAGGTACCTTACAAGATATAAAAACAAAAATAAAAATAAATCCACACAATGTAAAACTCACCAATAACAACAAAAAAAATCACGTATTTTTTTTATTTACAACACAGAAACCACACACAGACAACAACTATTGCTCAATGACTACTAAAAACAATACTTTGCGTAACGCGTCAGTCTAGTAAAGCGGTATGATATATAATAAAGCGGTTTCTACACCTGCGCACGCGCCGGCAACTAATCGAAACGCGTGATCGTACTTTGCACTTCGCGCCGCGGTTTGTAACCTCTTTTAAACTAGGCATAATGGGAATACCTATTGCTTGCTTTAAAAAAAAAATAGTTTGATTGACGTTTGTTATGTCAAAATTACTTCAGAAGTAGGTAGTATTTATAATTTAATTGATATAATAATTCTGTTGCACATACTCGACACTGGCAGTATAGTCGACAACACAATTTTGGAGACTCGGTTGCCAAAGAAGAAAAAAAAATATGTTGCACAGTTTTACTGTTGTGTTTTTGAAAATAAAAACATTAGGTACCTCATTTCTATTTACGACAATGGATTTCATCAAATCTATTTACAATAACAATAAAGAATGTTTTTCCCAAGTAATTATGAAGAAAGTAGGTCTGTACCTATATGACAGGAAAACCACAATTCATTTACTTCAATTGAATACATGGTGTCAATGGCTGTTTCGATTTTATAATTTGAAACAGCCAGTCGTGGTTTTATAAAAGAAAAAATAATAACCATCGGCATAATTGGAAAATACCTTGATATTTATTTATGTGGAGCCATGGTGTAGACAGCTGATGTATTAAAAATAATATAATAATAAAGCAATACTCCCTTTTTTAAAGGCAAATTGCTAACCAAATATATTTTTTTATGGTATAAGAGGCAAACGAGCAGACGGATCACCTGATGGTAAGCGATCAGCGCCTCCCATGGAGAACAACAACCCAACACCAAAGGAGTCACAGGTGCGTTGCCGGCTTTTTAAAAAGAAGTACGCTATTTTCTTGAAGGTATGAAGGTCGTATCGGTTTGGAAATACCGCCGACGACAGATCATTCCACAGGTTTGCTGTGCGAGGCAGAAAGCTACGTGAGAAGCGCACAGTTGTGGCCAACTATCTATATGATGGGGATGCATATGCTGTCGTGAGGGTCGATGGCAAAAAGATGCGGCAGGTAACAGGTCAAATAATTCCTAAGAGCACTCCCCGTGGTATAAGCGGTAGAAATACACAATGAAGCTACATACGCATTGCCAAAGTGTCCAGCCGAAGCCAAAATGCGACAAATCTACTTTTTTCCACGAAACACATAAGTCTTCCTTTCCTACTAATCCATTCATTCAGGACCATATAGTCCACATCACTATTTCAAACCTCAGACCAGTTGGACATGACCATGCGTCATAACCATTATGGAAAAAAGTAGAACATAATAATAATATGCTGACCATGTTGACGCGACGTAGCGTATGAACTATTTCAAGGCTAAACCTGTTTATGTTGATCTGACGTACTTATATAGTGATTATGATAATTATATTGAATGCTTCGATGGATCGGCGTCAGTATGACTGCCGTGCCGTGGGGTCCGATCGGTCAAATATTATTATTTCAGTAATGGCGTTGAGTTTGGGAACTAGATTTTGTTCACCCGTCCGCATTTTTTGATTATATTCTCTGTCCTACGTGAACAGTTCTGCAGCATTTTTTGTAAACAAGCCTAACAAACCTGATCTTCCACTCTAGATTTTACTTACCTATTAAGTAACTAATTATATGAAACTATTTTAACTATTTTAGACGAAAAACAATACAATGCTAATTAATATCTTTAGCACAGTTGACCACATTTTTAATCAGCGTTCAAAGTTGGACTACTAGGATAATTTAACCACTCGTCTGTTGAAAGTTGGGGTTATAATGTGTTTTATACCGGGAGCCAGTGTTACAACAGGTAAAAGGATATTGTAAGATCTACCTAACTTTTCCGAACTTGTGTATAGAGGACTTAGGGGTCATCCATAAATAACGACACACGAATTTCGTGATTTTTTGCGCCTCCCCCGGCCTTTTCACAGCTGGTCATATTTGTGAGACTCCCCCCTAGTGTGACGTCACATTTTGCAGAATTACAGTATAGAAACTATTGTTAATTCTATTTCCACTTAAATTACTTTAAAAAAATTATTAATGTCTAATCAAACAATTAACAAAATAAAAAATAGTAATACAAATTATATTTCGTATTTTAACGCAGATTATAATAGTTTTTGAAATGTGACATCACAAAGTTTAGGATCCCTCCCTCCCCCCCCCAAAGTTGTGACGTAATTTATGGATGGCCCATTATTTTACATTTAAAGTAATCAAAACGAGACCGGGTTCGGCGGTCTGATTGGCCAACTGTAATTAATTAGCCAATCAGAACATCGAACGCGGTTTTAAAACACACTCGTACTAAGCCCTCTGTTTTGGCAACCAAAATCTGGTAGACAACATTAAATTATTTGCATTCAATTGACCGAAAAGTAGTAATTTCTTATTTGTAGAGAGAAATAACTAAAGTCATACAAATCAATAAATACACAATTGGGTAGTTTCCAGGGTAAGGAAATAAAAATCGAATTAGTCCGTCAGTTAGAAAATGAAAAAGTATTAGACAAGTTTTTTTTTTTTCTCATATAAAGTTACAATACTCAGATAAAATGGAGTTAAGTTTAGGAGTGGGAGGTAGTTACGTCACAACGTGCTACATTTTGTTGCACGCTGTGACGTCACACGACATTTCAAATCAATATATCGTCGAAAGCATTTAATATTGTGAGAAAAGAAAAAATACGTGTCTAATGTTTTAAAATAATCTACCAGACGGACATTAAAATAAAATTTAGGAAACTAGCCTATTGTAGCACCAGCTTTATCATCAATGACTTGAGATCATGATCCATACTTCACGGTTACGATAATACATACTTTTGAGTATTTATTTATTTATCTTTTTAGCTAACCGATATCGATATTACTCAATCGATGAAAAATTTACACTATACTGTTAATGTTTGTGTTAGCAGCCTTGGTGTCTGACGTCTGTATCGTGGGCTCATAAGTACCAAGTTACCGAGTAGTGTATAGATTCTGATTTCAGGGTAAGCTCTTACGAAGCCGCCGAAGACTTAACGGTTTGTGGGGGCTCCGGCTCGAAGTGCAGGAGTAGGAACGGGGTGGTTTGTAGTCAGTAAGAGTCTGACACTCCCTCTCACCTCACCCAGGCAAGAGAAGTCATCGGATGATTATAAAAAAGGGTCAAGCTCCGAGGCTTTAGCTCTAAGCGGGAGTAAGAACGTTGTGGTCTTAGTCAGTTAGACTTCAGCTTAGAATCCGACACTCGCTTTCGGCTTACGGGGAGTAGACTTACGGCTACTTACGGCGGGAGAAGTCACTTATTTGTTTTCCCCCTAAAAAAAAGGAGGCCAGGGTACGTAGCCTGGCCTAGCTTAAATAATAATGTATTTACCATTCACGGGACTACAGGGTCCCGGTCATTTGGGAGGCGTACGAGGGGCCGAAGCCAACTGCGCAGAGGCCCTTTAGATAACTTTAATCTTAAATGTAATTATTATTATTAAGATTTTCAACCTTACTACAAAGGACCAAGTCTGGAATTACACTGATGCATAGTTAATATTATTATAGACTCGCTTTTTCATACATGGAAGTCATAGTACACTAAATTACTTAAAGTGAGTGTCACAAATAAGGACTATACCTTATTATTATGTTTTCGACTTACTCATGTTATTATTTGACGAAGAATTCGACTAGTTTCAAGCCATGCTAGAGGCTCATATTCATGAGCAGAATCCCGCGACACGCAACGCGGCGACTAATTTAGTATGTCTCACGAAAATTATAATACCAAGGACTATACCCACTACAGCTATTCAAATTGAATATTTTTTTACTGATCACACCCTTAAGAAACCAATGGAAACACTAATCAATGTTATGAAGCCACAAACACACTGCAAATACAAATAATCAAGTAAGTATTTATGTAGGAAACAATCTCATTGCAATTTAAATAACGGAAAAATTCAATGAAACCTTATAAGTTCTACTGGATTCTAGTTTAAATTACATTTTATTTATTCAAACCTAACTGACGCAGCGAACATAGTAAATTTTTTTAAGGGGATAAGTCAGTAAACGAGCAAGCAATCGGCGTCGACCATAGACACCTGGAACACCAAAGGCGTTACAAGAGCGTTACCGGCCTTTTAGGGATTCAGGGATTGGGGATATTGGGGGAAGGGGAACGAGGGGGTAATTGGGAAATGGATCATGTGAGTAAGTACTCATACGACGACACACAACGCAAACGTTGTTGCACGTCGATTTTCTGTGAGGCCGTGGTATCAGTCCGGTCGAGCCAGCCCATTCGCGCCAAAACATGGTTCTTCCACACTTAAACATGCCTACCGATTCGAAATCAATAACCGTTATAATAATACGAACATAATGAATTCATTATTTTTCCGATCTTAATAATGTATTCATAGTCTTTCCGTTATTAACAAGATATGTACTCGTACAGAAATAGATATCTTCACGTGGAAGTTTCCACTGGTCAGTTGAGCTGTGTTATAAAAAATATTTGGTAACCCGAGAATAGGGTCGACGCTTAATTTTTTATTCTAATGTCCATCTGGTAGATTATTTTAAATCATTAGACACGTATTTTTTATTTTCTAATAGAAGCGAATACTTTCGACGATATATTGATTTGAAATGTCGCGTGACGTCACTTCTATGTACATTTTATACGTAGAAATTACATTTTAGCCGCCACTCCTAAACTTTGATTCGTTTTATCTAAGTATTGTTTTATTATACGACAAAATAAAAAAAGTACGTTACTAATATTTTTTCATTACCTAACTTACGGACTAATTAGATTGTTAATTATCCCAATTGTATAGGTAAACTTGTACCTACACAACACCTGGTCTTTGGTCTTTTTGTGAACAGTGTGGGGGTCAGCGCTGAGTCTAGTCACCTACACTTAAACTAATTTTCTATTTGCTGGTTTTTACAGCTAAGTTTCATTCGATACTGATTTGTAATGCCTTATCTGGATTCGTCTGATTTAAGAAGAGGATGGATACATCAGGGGTGCTCCATCGTAGGCCGCATCATCGCTTACCACCATGC